GACAATCAAATGTTTGTGGACTTGTTTTTGGACCAGCCTTGAACAAAATTGGTCCAGGCATTTCTGACAAATGATGGCTGCATGGAACCCCAAAAACAAGTCCCAGTTTTGGTATTCAGTGACACTGTCCCGATATGTGAGACTACATCAGTACATATAATTTGTTTAATTTAGTTGAATAACTTTGCCATTTGGCATACAGTAATTCATAAAATTGGATGAAATATATTGAAAGAAAATTTCATAGACTAAAAATCAATGTGTCCCTCAGGAAGGCTAGACCCAGCTTGTTCCAATCCTTTAACGATATTGAGACGCTCAGAGCAAACCAGTCAAACAACCTAGCTGGCAATAGTTGTGTTCACGTTACACGAAGTACGGGCTAAGATTTAAGCTGATTTAGGCTTATCTAGCATATTTGCATTTTGGCTAGACCCAATTGCGTCCACGCACAGGGAGGGCCAGTCGTTAGCACGGGCTAAGGGGTGCCATTAGTCGGTGACCTTTGGTAAGCCACTATTTATGAACGAAAAATGGATGACACGTGCTAGGTTCTATTTCTGCTGCTGGCATGTTTCGTTCTAATTTTGAAGCGACGTGCACATGAACGCGAGAGAAAACTGACCCAACTTATTTGAATGCACATAAACAGTATACAACGGGCGTAACAGAATAGAGAGTTTTATTAATGCATGTCGTAGACAGCAAACCAATTTTTTTTTGTCTACGATTGGAGCTGCTGTACGCTCTACTACTACAGTGACCCAATTAGTGTGGAAGCGAGCACGGAGTAATGACTGGTGGAATAGTGTCGTTATACGAACATGGGACAATTTTTACACCCAAAGGTCGTCGCAGAGGGCGCTTAGCCCTGGGCTAAGCGTTCGCGCATACTTCGTTAGTCCGTGCTAAGGTCTAGACCGCGTCTTAAATTCGGATCAGATTTAACCCGTACTTAGCATTCCTTAGCCCGTGCTAAGCGTTCACGCACGTTTTCTGATTTGACCTCTTAGCCCGTGCTAAGGAGCTGTGCGTGAACGCAACTAATAAGCTGTTCTGGTGTCCCAAACAATATGGTGATTACAGAACAGTCCCTGTTTTTAGTCTGGGTACAAACTTGATACACCATCTAGTTACACAGAGCAATACTAAAACAAACATAAATAATAATAATCCGTACATGGAATTCAACTACAAAGAAGCAGTAACAGTAACGCTGCAACCTATGTGGACATTCCCATGGAAGTTGAATGTTTATCAAGCCAATAAATGATACATATATGACGTGCATTAATAGACTTAGCTAGTCAAGTTAATACACCGTTTTCATAAAGAGGACGCAAATCCAGTCACGTGCTATTTTGTGATCAAAATCGAGGCTAGTGAGTATAGCAACCAGGGTTGCCCGGGATTTTCTAAATGCAAACATTGACAGCTTCATGACGGACTCCTTGAGGTTTTAATGGTAAGAAATTGATTTCTTTCGTTTTGCTTATTTATTTATTTTTTTTGTTTCATTTGTTTTCCCGAGTGTGTGTGTGCAATTACAACTTATTATCAGGCAATAGTCATTGTTTCTGTGGAGTGACGAAGCGGGAAATCACCTGTATGCTGTAAAT